AGAACAGAACGGTTTTCTAAAGATCGGTGATCGGCCTGAAACTACAAGCAGTCCAAAGAACATTCCTGGAAGCAGTTAGGCTGGTTCTCTTGCACTAATCTAGAGCATTTATTTAATGAAAGGATGAAAAGCTGCAGCATTTGTTATCATTTCTAAACCTTGGCTGGTTCTCTATGGTTTTTAGACGAAGTGAAGAAGAGGCTGAGCGGCGCTGTGGTCGGCAGGGCGGCCCAAACGCTGCAGCTTCTGCTCCAACCTGATCATTCGAATGTTATGTGGATATTTTGCACAGCTGAGCTGGAAACCAGAATGAGTCTGGGACTGGCAGAGAGCTGTGGGATCCTCGCTGTTCATGACAGGCATGAAATCCAGGGAAAATGTCCATGAAGCAGAGAGCATACTCACATAAAAAAAAGACTAAAAGATGTTCTGGAATTGAACCCTTTAACCCACAAACCAACCCGATTTATCCGTCTTCTGCTCCTGAACAATCTTTTCTCACAAAGGAAAAACATCTGACTAACGTACGGGAAGCTGTTTGTTCATTTAAACTGACGTTCTTTGGCATCCCATAATCCCCTGACATCACGGGCCTAACATCAAACGCATCCTTTCTTCATTACATGACATGCAAATTTACTAAGACTTGAGTCTCAGCGCAGGAGTCCAAGTCAAAGTCTGAACCCCAGCTTCCAATGACCATCTGTATGGAGCTCAGTTTGGGCCAGAAAGTTTGTTCAAAAACAATTTGGTTTGAAAATTAAAAAAACAAAAGCAAATTACAACTGAAAAAAAAAATTGGAAAATGGAAAAAAAAAGTAAAAAAAAAAAAGATTTTAATCTGAAAAGTATTTTTGAAACTGCAAAGATTTTAGCCGGAAAAACAAAAATTGGGGAAATAAAAAAAAGTTGTGTGAAGGTTTTTTTTTTTTTTTTTTTTTTTTTAACTATCATTTAAACTTGGAGTATCAATGATGACGGTTCTAATTCCCACAGCTCCTGAATGTATCATCTGGGAACATTTTTGTCCTGTCATATAAACTGTGATTCATCGTTCCTCACCACGTCCTCTAAGCTCCGCCCCCCTGACACAGAGGGGACGGCAGTTTGCTAGTTTTTCCTTAGCATATATTTTTCAGTGAGTTAGCATCATTTATAAATTTGCAGCAACTTTCCACTTTGCTACTCTTTACTTTCTATGACTCAGCATTTCTCCTTTGCAGTGGTTTGCACTGTGTTTGCCCCCCACCAGGATAATAACATGTAAACAGCATCCGATTCAATACAGTTCAGTAAATAGCTGAACAGAATTTTCAACCTCTAGCGAAATTCATATATTTGCCAAATTCTGAGCCAAAACCTCGTGCTATTTATGCAAATATACGATTTTTTCCTTTGCTTGTTGTTTGTTTAATTCCAGGAACAGAATCCTGCACAACTCTCCATCCCATCATGCATTGCAGCAAGAGCAGGGACGTCCAACACTTTTCGTTTGTTGGGCCAAAATGTCAAAATGTTTTCAAGTGCCAAAAAATATAAGACTAAAAATAACTTTGCATGGAAAGATCAAACGAACTGTTTAGTCCCATTATCTGTAAAATTACATTTAAATCATAGTAAAAAAAACAAATATATACTTCTGCATATTTGATATATCGAAGGATGGTCAATGATTTTTAGCTACATTTTAATTAAGCATTTTAAATTATTTTCAGTAAAAACAGAAATTCGGTGTTCCTTCAAAAAATAATTCATATATTAGCTATATTAGCCTATTTAAATAAGTGAACTGAAAGCAAGTTTCTGCAAACAAACATCAACATTTGGATCAAAGTTATCAGATAGATGTGGTTCCATCTACTATAAAATTAAAATAAAATGTTAAATGTAATTATTAAAGATTAAACACATCGACATGTCTGTAATAACTATATCTGAAATGAAGTGAAACGTTTCCATCTGCCTCTGCTAGCTGTGCAGGGCCTCACAGAATCAGCTCAGGGCTCCAAACGGCCCCCGGGCCGCAGTTTGGACACCCCTGGTTTAATCTTTGCTAGGAATGAGGAAATGTTCCCAGGGATATTTTGGGCAAAGGAAAGTTTAGAAACGTTCCCTCTTGTGTCGAAGCTGCAAGGAACTGACATTCATTCACTGCAAAGAATCTAAATAAGTCCATTTTTCTTTAAATTAGTGCATTTTTTCCTGAATTGAGGAGGTAGGTGAGACACTTTGCCAACGGAACAAGACATTTTACATTTAAAAAGAGGAAAAAACAATGCATTTATCTAATTATCTTACTGTAAGATTAAAAAAACCAATGCCATTGGCAGATTAGATCATCTTACCTCAATTTAAGCGTAAATGCACTTAATTTAAGACATTTTTACTTATTTCTGGGTCGTTTTTGCAGTGCAGCGACTAGAGTTGATCCCAGGGAACATTGCAGCTAGC